CAGGAGGGTCACCCCAAGCAGCATGACTACAGGGGGCAGGAAAAAGTGTGGAATACTCAGGTATGCACAGGCATCAATGACCCCAGCACCCTCCTCCCAGGAGCCAAGAAAAGACTCGGGGGAAAAAGCATGTCTGAGAAGGAAGGTCTACAGCAGATAAGAGGAGAAGTGGCAGGCCGGCACCATATAATGACAGCAACAGGGCTGAGTGGAGTATAAGACAGGGAAAGAGTAGGGAACAAAGGTGGAAGGTCCAGGAAGAAACAAGGCAAGGGTGCAGAAAGAGGCTGAAAGCAAAAATTGGTCACCAAAATAGAACTCAGAGCTTGTGATGACTGTGCAGACACAAGGAACACCCACAATTACTGCCCATGTGCAGCAGACTGCGTCTCTAGCTCCCGCAGAAAACTACCCGGCTGTGTACAGCACAGGAAGTAGCACAAATGACAGACGATGGGATGGGCGGGGGGGAAGGGCTACAGCCAAGTTCCTGGGGAGAGTTATAACGGGATGGTGAAACCCAGAGGGACACAGAGTTCTAGCGGAGGGACAGAGCTTACTCCAGGAAAGGTGAGGACAGAAGATGGACATCCTCTTCTTCTGCTTACCTGGGATCGGCTTGCAGGATTTACCAAGGACCTGAAATTAAATTCAGCAAATGATTTCTGAGCATCTGTGATGTGCCAGGAACTGTGCTAGGTGCCTCGTTAAGCTGAGCAAGTATAAGGCTTATACGAGGGACCTTGGCCTCCGAAGCAGCCCCGTCACTGCCCAACCAACCACTGAAGCCCAGCCTCTCAAACGTACTCTCCTAGCATCGTTCCTTTTTATTTATTTAAGTCACAGACAGGAGGGAAAGCCCCTCGGTCCTTTTCAAGCCATTTCTGAGCCAACCCTTGTCCCACCCTGAGGTTTCACCTGAGTCGGGTAGTTGACAAACTGTAGTGCTGAGTTGCTGGAGACCATGGCACCCAGATAGGAGACAGAACAGGCAGCATAGAGCCAGCTCCGAGTACGGTCCACCCTGGCAGTGTCAAAAAACTGGATCACTAGGAGAAGACAAAAAACATACAAGAGAAACCTGGTGGGGCTAGGATGGACCACTAAGCAAAAGCTGAAGCTGTATGAGAGGAACTTGTCCGTCAAGTACGACATGAGCTATTTCTGTCTTCTTAGACTGAGAAATCTCTGAAAATTATTCAGTTCTCCAATTCCACCTAAGCCTACCACAAGATCACATGCAGAGACAGGTGGAAGTCTCGTCCAGGGACAAGGGATGATTTATCCCTGCGGCTAGTCTCCAGGGAACAAAGGAAGCTCAAAACATGTTTGAAGCTGATGCACAAAGTCAAAGAGACAAAGGGAAAAATGTTTTAAGCATTCTCAATGGGAATTTGGACCAGAGAAGATCATTCTCTGCACACTTCTGACTCAAAAGTTGGTCTGCTTTAAGAAAATAACATTTTAATCTCACTTCAAAGTCATTAGTTTTATAGTTTAGACAGAAAGGGGGTGGAGGTCGGGAAACTTAAGACCTCATCAGTTGACTGACTGAAGATTGAATCGATGCCTTACGCCCAGAATATGGGGGGGGGGGGCACCTCCCAGCAAATTACTATCTAGGTACTCACAGATCTTGGCAAACACTGCATTGATCACACACTGGATGAAGACCAAAGTTAAGGCAAAAGTGAACGTCTCCTGTTTGGCTGCCTCCCCATATTTTCCTCTTGTTCTACAATGAAAGAGAGAGGAGGATAGTATATTTCACTTACTGTTATCTAGTATCCCCAGAGCTACCGAAAACTTCGCAATTACCTTGCCCTTCCGGGTGTACAGAGAATTGGTAAGGATAACTGGGCTCATTCACAAAATGGGCTGATTTCATTGGACCTAGGAACTGACATCCTAAGCTAATATCGTTGTCTCGAAAAGAATATTCGTAAAGGACAGAGCTAGAGGAAACACGGAGAACTGGATAAAGTACCCCTGCAGGAGAAGGTATCTGAGCGGGGCAGAAAGCCCAAGGGTGGAAGAATGTCCACGAGCATCTGGAAGTTCCAAAGCGGGGCTGGCTCAGGTCACGGACACCTGTTTGGGGTAGGAGTCCCAGAATCCTGGAACCACCAAAGGTAAAAACAGCTAAAGGAAGAAAAATAACCAGGTCTCGACACCACAAAGGGCAACGCTGGCGTTTTTTAATTATAGGGAAGGTTCAGCCGAGGACGTAGATTAGATAGAGGGACACCGGTAGCGCCAGAGACCCGCGGGGGAGGACCACAGGAAAGCCCGGGGCGAGCGACGAGTCCTGAGAACCGAGCCTGGCAGAGGGGCCGGGCGGGGCAATGCCTGCCTGCCCCCTCGGGAGTCCACTCACATTTTTTCCTGCAGGATCCCATAGTAGAAATAACAGACAAAGACACCCAGGAAGCAGAGCGGCAGGCGCAGCCGGTCGGGCACCAGGGATTTGCTAGAGGCCATGAGACGCCCAGACGAGCCGACTGCAGACCCGCTCACAGCCTGCAGCGGGAGCGGCGGCGGCGGGGACAGCTCCAGGCGGACATCGCCGACCGGCGGCAGGGGCCTCATAGGAGCTGCATGCGACCGCCGCTCAGTAGGGCCCAGGAGCCACCTCCCGAACTGCCAGCTCAGGCTTGCCAACAGGAAAACGCCTCAAAACCCAGAAACCATTTTCTAGGAAAGAAGACTGGCTGTGGGGCCTTGGCTCCATTCCTGGTGGCCAGGAGCGGCAGCTGTTTTGAGGTTGGGACCTCCGCTTCGAGATTTTTCCGATCAGGCAACTCTAAGGACGACTACGACCCAGGGCTCGGTGGGGTGGCTTAGGCGATTCTTGGACGTGGAGTGATGACGTATAAGGATGTGGATGTCACTGATTGGATGCGCTGTGCCAAGATTAAAATGCGGGGCAGACAGGAGGAGGTGCAGCTTGCCGGGCAAATCAAATTGTCTTTACACCGGTCGGCCGCTAGGCTTTTGCTGGGTCCTAACTCCAAGAAATTCTTAATGGCACCCTAGCGCCCTCTAGCGCTTCCCAGCATCATAACTCCACCCCGTCACATCATCATTATGCTCCCAAAAGAGGTGCAGTAAGCTTCTGCTAGGTCAGGACCCTCGTCACTTAAAGAAATTTGCAGACCTATATGTGTCGCCTAAATTCTGAGCCCTAGTTTTCCCAGTCTGTAAGCTAATAGTTAATAGTAACAGCCTCCCTCCCCCATCGCCCCTTCACTGCTCTGATTAGATGAGCTGAGGTTTGTCAGAGTGTTTTATAAACTGTAAAGTGTGCTGTGCAAATTTAAGGTATTACTGGTCATTACTGTTTCTCAACTCTGATCTTATTTCCTCACATCCTGGAGTGGGAAATGCAAGCTTATTTAAATGAATTTATTGTAAGGACTTCCAGTTCACCAACAATGAAGCAAACCCTTTGGGTGCACCCTGTAACCCTGGGGTGCTTTTCCCTTTTGAGAGCCCCCTATTAATCCAAGTGTTGGGTCTCCACCTGGGAGGAACTGTCGGGGTTAGACTGACACCAGGTCTTTTCATTACCAGCTGAAAACCCTGACCTCCAGTATCTCTCCCCACCTTAATAATGGGCCCAGTTCTTGAGACAGGGTCTGGCTATGCAGTTCAGGCTGGCCTTGAGCTCACTTTGTAGCCCAGGCTGGTCTTGAACTTGCAATGATCCTCCTGCCTCAGCCTCCTGAGTGCCGCAATTACAGGCATGCTCCACCATGCCCGGCCATCTGAAAACCCGGACCTCCAGCATCTCTCCCCACCTTAATAACGGGCCCAGTTCGCAGGCGCAGGCGCCGTGGGACTCGCGGCTGCTCTTCCAGCATCCTGCTCCACTGGCACAGCCTGAGGCGAAGGAAGGAAGCACTGGGCAGCACCACACCCACCGCTGGGAGCCTGACTCACTAAGGCTTTGGGGGCAAGCCAGACATTCAGGGGGAGGGAAGGGCAAGAGGAGATAGGGTCTGTCCCCAGCCCTGTTCCCTTTCCGATGGGAGGAGGAGGAACGCCCCACACATTTGCTGCTCTGTCCTGTGGCTTACTTTACTGAATCAGCTGGCACCTTCAAGGAACCAAACAGTGGCTGGTAACAGACCCGGATTCTGGTCCCGGATCTGCTTTTTTACCAGCTGGGACCACAAACAATTTACTTGACCTCTGAATCAAGTTTCCTCCTGTGAAATTAACAGGAATGTGACAAGCAGGAGAGCGCTATGGTTAGAAGTATGGGCAATAGATTCAAATGATCCTTTCCTCGACTTTGTATGTTTTTTGGGGAAAGTTATTCAGTCTATTTTTGACCTTCCCTCATTAATACAGTGAGATTTACCACATCTCTCTCATTAAATGGTTGTCATAATTTAATGACATTTTATGGAAAGCACCTAAGGTGGCATCTAGTGCTTTATCAAGCCAATAAATGGTAGTTGGGACAGCCTGGCCAAGGGATCTGTCCTGAGGTCTCATGACACAAATACACCTGTACCTGTTATGACTGCCCCTGCCGTGGTCAGCTTTCCCCTAATACAGCAAGGATAATAATCTTTTGTGAGAATGTTTTGTAAATTCCAAAGCACTACAGAATGTGGGGGTGAGCTGGGCATGGTGGTACCGCCTGTGATCCCAGCACTTGGGAGGCTGAGGCAGGAGGATCGTTGCAAGTTTGAGTCCAGCTTGGGCTATAAAGTGAGCTCGAGGCCAGACTCACGGAAGAATGGGGGACTTCCTCAATGACTCCTCCAGGACACAGCACACTTTCCATTCTGGACAGACCTTTCCTAGGTGTGTTTATGGGTCTTGGGGATAAAGTGTCAGCATGGTGTCCATCCATCCAGCACCCAGACCAGCGTAATTATGTGTGAAATAAGGCCTCTTTCCCTTGAAGACAGGGGGAAGTGATCAATATACTATCCTTCCCCTCCACCCCGCTCCTCCCACCCTAGGTATTTAACAGGACCTCAAGCTGCTGGGAATACTTATTTATTTATTTGGTCTGTTAACACCAAGATCTGCAAAAAAACAACCTCTAAACACAAGATAAGAAAACTCGAACATTAACATTCTTCAGTTTTCTGTAAGCTCTGCAGTACGGAAAATATACAAACTTCAAACAGCTGCAAAAATAGTGTCTTTGGGAGAAAATAGAGTTTCTACATTGATACAAGAAAAATAGGCATTTTTCTAATCCAACCCAGCCCGAGGGCAGTGGAGAGGGCACAGCCACCACTTGCCACCGAGAGGAATGCCAGCTCTTCCTCTCCTCACCACCCACCTGGGGTCGGGCCGCTGCTTAAGACAATCTTTAGTCAGGGTGAACATGAGATGAAAATGCCACTTGGGAAAATGCTTGGTTGCCCCCTCTGTCAGCAGCTGAATGGGTCAAGTGTCCTGGCCGTCTAGGGCCGCTTTGGTCAGCGCCTCCAAAGCGGGAGGCGTGGGGACGGGGTTTGTGTCTTCTGGTCTGCTCTTCTGTTGTCCCTGGAGGTGGACGGGGAAGGAAATCTGTCACCAGCTTCCTCCAGGACAATGACGAGAGCTTCCTAGAAGTCGTGCAGACTCACACCCTGGGGTGGGGGACGGGGGACTCAAGGTCTTCTGGCTGAGTGTCTACCAAGAGAGGGAAGGGGCGGGGACACGGGTGCGAGTTGTGAGCCACCAGCCGCGAGTGAAGAAGGCAGGTCCCCTCACGTTCACACGGGCTGGTGTCCATCAGAAAGAGGACCCAGGGCTTTGACACAATTAATGAAAGTGCTCGAAGGCCTAGAGGGAGGGGGTTCTCCATCCCTCAGCTCGGGAAGCTAGAGTGGCCTGCCACCAAGGCACTGGTCTCCATGGTAAAGTGGGGGGGGGGTGTCCCCTCAGACCACCAGGGAGCTCTGGAAAAGCACGGACTCTTCTGATGGTGGGGTGCGCTGCCATGGCTCAAATGGCAGTGGGGAGGCCTTGGAGGCCTCTGGATCCTTCCGAGGTGGGGCCCTGGGGCTGGCGGGGGGCAGGGGAGAGCCTGGGCTGGAGGGGCAGTTCCGGAAGATGAAGCCCATGCTGGGGAAGAGGGGCTTCATCAAGCTGACGGGGCAGAAGGCCGAGCCGGTCGGGTTGAAATGGACTTTGTTCTTGTCAGGACAGGAAGTCAGGAAGGCCAGGTCAGGACCTGGGGACCTGGAGGATGGAGAGAGACACAGACCCACACGTACACAGAGAAACAGCCAGTGAGTAAGGGTGAGAGACATCGCCACAGCAAGGCGCCAGGGGAGCTGGGTCTCTGGCCAAACAGCGCGGTAACTTGGCCAAAACGTGAAAGGGTACAGTCTTCAGACCCCTGGGGTCTCCACTGTGTTTTGTTTCTGGTGTTGAGACTGAACCCAGCACCTTCACACTGAGCTACACCCCCGGCCTCTTTTTATTTTCTTGAGACAGTTGCTAAGTCACTAAGTGGCCCAGGCTGGGCTTGAACTTTCAATTCCTCCTGCCTCAGCTTCCCTGAGTGATGGAATTATAGGCCTGCGCCACCATATTGCGCTTCTATTGTTTTAAATATGGCTAAGCAACAGGAAATACCTTCAGCTTGAAATAAGGGTAACTTCCAACAGGGTGATTCCAGAAGAGACCAGTGACCAGGGACGAGGGACCTTTTCTTTTCAAACACAGGACCTTGCGCTTGCCAGGTAGGCTCTGTGCCACTGAGCTACATCCCCTGCCAGGGACCTTTTCAATGCAAAGATTTCATCAGGGAATGATGGTGTTTCATTTCAGGGCAGAGCCAGGCACGGTGACTTTGTAGGACTCTGGCCTAAGGTGGAAGCGCAGCTTAGCCCCGTGGACAGTGTACATCAGCTAATTCTCTGTCACGGGTGAGAGCACGGATGCACCGTTCTGCACGTTGCAGGATGTTTAGGGGCATCCCTGGCCTCTGCCCATTGGGTGCCAGCAGTACCGTACCCTTGCTGTCTCTTGACACTGCCAGATGTCTCCTTAGGGGCAAAAATGTCTCCTGTTAAATCTATGGGCCTCGGGAATCTAAGTCATGAACACATTTGCAAGGCGAAGGAATAAAGCGTAGCAAGGACCATGAGCAAAGTACTCAGGCCTCTGGAGGAGCCAGCTCCTAACTCGCCCTGTGGCCTCGGTCCTCGCCATGGCTGTCTCACCTCGAATGTGGGAACAACCAACCCTGCCCTTCTGGGCAGCTGGGGGAAGTGGAAGCGGGAGGTTGGTGCTCGAGTCCCTGGGTAAAATCCTTGTGATGAAGAGCAGCTGGTCAGGGCTGGAAGGCCAGGCAGCTGCTGGCAGGGCGGCTTCCGGTGGGAAGACAGTGGGAGGTGGCACTGTCATTCATGTCACCAAGGGCTCCCACTGACTACTTTTTTTTTGAGACACGGTCTTATTGGTCTTATCACATAGTTCAGGCTTGGCCTTGAACTCATGGCACCCCTCCTGTCTCGGCCTCCCAAGTGCCAGGATATGGGCATGTGCCACCATGCTGGCCCTTTCTCTTTTTTCACTTTTTATGGACATACAGCGTATACAAACAATAATATACTCTGAACAGATTAGTATGTTCATTTCCATTTTAATCCTGAATTCTAATAATCCAAGGCCCCCAAGAGAAAAGCAAGGTGTGAGAAGGGCAGAAATCTGGCGGAGAGTGAGAAAGGTGGCGGGCAGTGCCAGGCCACGTGCCAGGGCTGTGCGGGGAGGGGGGGGTCACAGCAGCAAGGCGTTGCCGGGCAGAAAGGTCACTCTATGGCGGGGGGCGGGGGGGTACCGGCAGGAGAGAAGACCAAGCACCGCTCGAGGAACATGAGCGCAACCAGCACGGCCCTGAGCAGCTTGACTCCTTCCCTGGGAACCCAGGTGACCTAAGAGGGGACAGCAGCTAAGAAGAGGAGGATGTGGTAAGAATCACTATCCACATGAACTTTCCAGTGGGAAAGCTGGTAAAATGAAGAGACCCCATGAGCTGCAGCAGAGCAAACCCAGGGCATCTTAGAAAATAACCGATGATCAGCACCTCTCCTACGGGGAGGATGCGGAGGCAGGAAGCCGGGGAAGGAGACTTGCAGATGGCTGCAGGCATTAGGAGTCTGGGGAAGAGCTGGGACAAGCAACAGCCTGGTTTCTACCAGCAGGGCCAGGTGGTGACCACTCAGCTATAACATGGCAGCGGGCAGCGAGGGACAGGAACCCAGGCCTGCTCGAGCTACGCAAGGCGGCCTCTTCCCTCCACGCTCAGAGGATCCAGGGCCGGAAGGGACACTGAGCAGCAGCACCAACAGTTGCAAAGCTCCTGCTGGTGGCAGATCGCTCCGGAACTCTGAGCCAGAGGCTGTGCGTTCCTCATCTGAGATACAAATGGTGCCCTCAGCTCCTGACCTAGTGCCAGCTATGGCGTCACTGGCACACCCTGACTCCACTTCCTGGCTGCCATCAAACCACAGCTGCCAGTACAAATCTGCCCTGGTGAAGATGACGCCAGAAGATGACGCTTCTGGAGCGCCCGGCTCTCGATTCTCTGCCACTGGGAGGGAACTATAAGAATCAGCAGAAGAACGGCTTCTGAAATACTCAGTCAGGTTCTAGAATACACTACAGTCCTGACTTGCAAGACTGGAAGTTTCTGTCTGGGAGTTCATGACACCTGAACTACTACACCGCACGGTGAAGGACTAGTGCGTGTGCTGTCTGTCTGTCTGTCTCCCTCTCTGAGGGTGGACTAGCAAATTCCCACACCTTTCCCAGGAGTGAGAAAAAATATAAGAAACAAAGGGCGTAGGTTTCGGGTATCTTTCCTTCCCAGCGCTTGCTGCCCCTGTGGCTGGCGTGCGGGAGGGAGCGGGTTTCTATGGAGACAATGATAAGCGAAGATTTAACAGCTCCAAGTAGGTAATGTCAACACGTTTGATCATGGAAAAACTGCAATACTGATCATCTGATGCAGATACCGCTGCTAGAGGAGCGCCCAAGGCTGACGACGGGCCTGGGAGCGGGGTCACACGGGGCAGCCCCCTCAGGGTCCCGCCCTCGCCCACACCACCCATCGCAGGTACTCACGTCGCCTCTTCAAACGCACGCACTCGCTCACAGCCTTCCGGGGGCTCCCGCTTGAAGACATAGCTGCGGTTGGGCTGAGGGGAGGCGGCAAAGGCGAGGACTGGAGACGGGCTGCCGTCTTCCACGGAGGCCGGGTGGCCCGGAGAGGAGGCTGCGAACAGAGCAAGGCTGAGTGCGGTGGGGACAAGGGACAGTCTCTGCTTTCCTGGGTGGCACAGCGTGAGGCTGGGAGCTACTCGACAAAGGAGCAGTGGCTATGCTAATAAGGCTGGTGTGTTTTACACTGCGCCTTCCAAAAACCTCACAAATATCAATCGCCTTTAATAATACTAATGCACAGCTGAACTGATGGGAAAAGAAATTCACACCAATCCTGCATCCCCAAGAGGCAGGTGAGGACTGCAGCTCTACAGAAACCTTATCTGCTGTCCCTCACTGCTGTCACCCTGCCAGCCCGCACACTGCCGCTTCTCCTCGCTGCAGTCCTAAAACCTGTCCCTCCATCCAGACAGCGCTGCCGTCCCAGCTCTGAAGGGCAATCTTTACACAACCCCACTTAGAGGATAGAACTCCTCTGGCTTTTCCCTCAGCCAAGGTACTTTGCCTAGGTTGCAAACACTGACTTTATCTGTGTGCCATTCATTCCTCGGTAGCCCGTGCTCTATTTACCTCTGTGTCCCAAGCCCAGGCCCTCGACCTGCCCACCTCCTGGGGCTGCAGTAAGCGGAGGGCACGTGTGAACAGGGACACCCCAGCTTCCCACTACAGCAGGCTGAACTTCAGCCCTAAACACTAAGCCGAAGATATTGCTCTTTTGGGTTCCAGTGAAGATGAAGCATAAGTAAGGGTGCAGAGACTTTATAAACTACAAACCAGAATGCGACAGAAAGGGACCTTTTTTTTTTGTCTTTTTGAGATAGGGTCTCACTATGCAGTGCAGGCTGGCCTTAAGCTCACTTTGTAGCCCAGGCTGGTCTCGAACTTGCAACGATCCTCCTGCCTCAAAGGGAACCATTATTATCATTGTTGTTACAGTGTGCAGAAAGAAGATAAGGCACAAAGATATTCTGGTGGTCTGTAAGTGATTTGGCCGGGTCTCTGGGTCTCCATAGAGCCTCCACAGCTCAGGTCAGCCCTGCTGCCTCAGCACTGTGCCTTACCTTTGTCATTGGGGACGGATGCCAGCTCCTCAATGGCACCCCGGTGGTCCTCGTGGCTGGCCCTGCCAGAGGGCTGGGGGGATGCCAGCAGCATGGAGGGAGAGCTGGCAGGGTTGCCTGGCTCCAGGAGGAGGGGATGATCACAGCTGCCACTCTGGGGAGGAGCCGGGGCACGGTGCCCATCAGGGACCTCAAGGATCTGACGAGGAAGGAGGGGAGAGACTCTCAGCCCTGACTTTCCAGGCCTGCCGCTCTGCAGTGGCCCTGAGGGTACGCCCTGTCCTCTCCTTCTCGGCTCTATTGCAGCTCACAGTGACCACTGAACGCCATCTCCTCAAGACATTCACTCCCAGCCTCCCCTCTAGGGGCCCCCCTTGCTTCTCCTGTAGCACCCTGTTCTTTCCCCCCAGACAGGCTATCACGATAATCTCACATCCCTGTGGTGGGGTGGTGTCGCCCGAGCAGTCTGTGAGCCCCAGAGGGCAGGTACCTTCTGTCTGCGGGGCTCTGGGGCGACGTACTGGAACAAGGCACCAGGACTCTGCCAGTGCTATGCATCGTGTCAGGACAACATGCCAGTGCCCGTCACAGGTGAAATACCCGTGTGCATGTGTTTGGGGGTACATGAAATCCTGCATATGCCCCAATTAAAAATTAACCAGCAGGTAAATCATAAACTGAGGAGTGTGTGCGCTGGAATTCTATTAGTACTGCCTAATGGGCTCCCTCGCTGGCCTGCAGAGAAGGTAGCACATAACTCGGCCTGGGGGGAGAGGGGCAGCAGATGGCCACATGGGGGCAACTGGACATGAAGGACGAAGGATGGACGCGTATCACCAGGTAGAGACAGCAGGAGGGCCGTGGCAGCGTGGCCGTAGGGTGGCATGAGCTGTGGCACAGGTGGTGACGGTGCCGAGGACTCCGGGAACATGGGCTGGCAGTGTGGCTTGCCTGTCCACCCCGGCTGGGGACGCTGCTCTCCATTCACCACCCAGGCCTTCCCCAGGTGCACCCCCATGCCCCCGCCGTCCCCAAGCTCGGCCCATGGTCCTCTGCCCATGTAGCCACAGCCCGAGAGGCCTAGGCAATGACGCCCCGACACTGCCACCCGTGCCTCCGGGACACTCACCCTCAGCAGCTCCTCGTCTCCTTGCTCCTTCACGAACACCTCCTCCAGCTCTTGGTTGAGCCCCTCCAGGCTCCTGTGCAGGCAGGGGCTGAGTCGCAGGACCGGGGACCCCGCAGGGAATGTGGGAGGGGACACCTGAGGAGGGGGTGAGTGAAGTGATCACCCGAAGCCCCCCAAGCTCTGCCCCATTATCCATCCTGACTGGAGACAGCAGCCATGTCCACCCACACGGCAGCACCAAGCGAGGACAGGGAGCTCTGGGGCGGCCACAGACTGCAATGGTCCGCTCAGTGGGGTTTTCTGCACACTTTAGAGCTTCGAGAGGTCTAGCGCTGTTCTGGGTCACTGTCTCAGACACACGGTGCTGGGGCGGAGGAGATGCACGTGCAGAACAGCAAGGAGCCCTTCTGATGCCACTCAGACACACACGTGGCCACAAACGCATGCTCCATGGGGGGGCTCGGTAACTGCCAGGCTCCACAGAATTCTGTGGCCGCCATGGAGACAAGTGGGGGACAAAACTCACCCTCAGCGCCCCCCGCACCGCGTGGTCCCCTTGGAGTGGGGAGCCCCGCTCCTTCTCTTTCCCGCTGCGGCTCAGCTTCGTCCGCTGCAGCTGTTGCTTCAACTTGGTGATCTGGCAGCCAGAGAGAAGGACAGGAGGGGCCCGTGAAGCAACGCAGAAGGGTGCTGGGTCCCTCCTCCCGGAGGCAGCCCTGCCACAGGCCCCCCGGGGGGACACAAAAGGGACATGGAATTTAATCTTCCATCTCAAACCCTCGAGACGGGTTATTCAGATATGCTGGACACCTTGTCAACCTATTATACCTATTGCATTCTCAGGACTGCCATGCATTCCATAGGCAGATCGGGCTCCAATAAATTCAAAACATGCAACTCTGGGGTCATTTTGTCTTTCACAGATGGCAAAGTTGTGGATACCACTCCAAAGTAGCAGCGTCACGGTGTTTCTGAATGCCCACTGCAGTTCCAGCCTCAAAGCACCCAACGAACCACCCAAAGGCCTGAGGCCATGAAGGGTGGACACGTGTCCCTCCCCCACTTAAAGCTGACTACACTGTGTAAGCATCAGCTCTCTAGAAGGAAGACCCTACTGTGTAGGTGCCCACATCCGGTGACGATTCCGAATGCCCTCCCTGTCACAGTTACAATTCTGGACCTTCCTGACCTCCCCTGACGAGTGCTCATGGGAACAGAGCTATATAAAGCCGAGCTTACAGGGAATCCGGGGAGTAGATCGGCCGCCTATAGCCAGAAAACTTCTGACCACAGCCCTGAAGAACATGCTTTTCTTTGTTTTGTTTTTCTCTTTTTGAGACAGTCTCCCTATGTAGTTCAGACTGGCCTTGAACTTGCTATGAAGCCTTGGCTAGCCTTAAACTCATGGCTTTCCTGCTGCTTTGGTCTCCCAAGTGCTGGGATTATAGATGTGTGCCACCACGCCCGTCTTTTTGTTTTGTTTTTTTGACACAAGGTCTCACCGTGGAGTTCAGGCTTGAATTCACTGTGTAGCTTAGGTGGGCCTTAAACTGGCAGTGATCCCCCTACTCAGCCTCGTGGGTGCTGGGATTAGACTTGCACCACCATGCCTGGTTTAGAAAGTGCTTCTCAGCTGACCGTTGCCACGATTCATTCCATGAACCCTACCCTGAGTGTGAATAATTTGCCCACTCTGATCATGGAAGATTTTAAGTGTTTTTTTATTTTTTATTTTTATTTTTATTTTTTTGGCTTTTTTCCGGTACCGGGAATCAAACTCACGACCTTGCGCTTGCCAGGCAGGTGCTGTGCCGCTGAGCTAAATCCCCAGCCCCTTAAGTATTTTTTAAAATGTCCTTGTAAACTTGCATGTAACTACTCCATATTTTCTTTCTTTTTTTTTTTTTTTTTTTGTCTTTTTGAGACAGGGTCTCGCTATGCAGTTCAGACTGACCTTGAGCTCACTTTGTAGCCCAGGCTGGTCTTGAAGTCACAACGATCCCCCTGCCTCAGCCTCCCAAGTGCTGGGATACTACTCCACATTTTCTTACTCTTCTCAGCAATGAGAAGCACAGGAGCAACTTCCTTTTGGGATGGGGATGAGGAGGAGTCTTGGCCTGACCCTCTTAGAAGCTGCCACATGACCACCAGAGGAGCTGGCTTGGGAGCCCTGGAACCCCAGCCGATGGCCTTCTCTACTCAACCTCAACGCCTGCCGCCCTCCTGGGGCCAAAGGAGAGTGAGGACAAAGCGTGCGTCCCCTTCTTTGAAAATAAGGCTGGTGAACAATTAAGTAGTCAGTGAGGCTGGGGGCTCCTACTCCCAGGGACTCATTTCCTGGCTTCTCCCGGCCACCAAACCACTTATCCTGATCCAGCCTTCAAGCTGCACAACAGAAGCTCTAGTCCTGTGCCTGGCTGTGGCCTGGCCATCCCTCACAGGGGCTCTGGGCTCCTAAGAGCAGCCATCTGCACAGGAAGGGCCGGGAAGGTGCGAGTCGATCGCCCTCTGGAGCAGGGGCCTGGTGTGGAGTAGGGGTTGGAGAACAGACGGCCACCCTGGCCACGGAGTCCAAGTGGGCAGGTACCTCTTTCCGGTGGTCTGTGCTGCCCCAGGATGCTGAGCGCTTGTGTGTGCAGGAGCTGGCCCGCTCACCTTCTAGCTCTTGCCAGGACAGGGGCGTCTGTCGGGGGAAAACAGTGACATTAGCCAGGTGTGGTGATGCACAATTGTAACTCCAGCACTCAGGAGGCTGAGGCAGGAGAAGTGCCATGAGTTCAAGGCCAAGCTGAGCCGTAGAGTGACCTTAAGTCCAAACTCAACGACATAGGGAGACTCTGTCTTTTAGCCCCACCGCCCCTCTCCAAAAAAAGGAAAAGCACACAGACAGCTCTTGCAGGCAGGCCCAGGAAATAGACACGGTTTCCTCCTTGCGTCTGCGCATCCTCTTCCTGAACACACCCAGCCTGCTTTTCCTTCCAAGCAGAGCCACCTGCATGGCCTCTCCTGGTTTATGACCTTGTGGTGGCCCAATGGATCCACTCCTCTCTTCTCCGTGCTGACCTGCGTACGGGTATCGGACCCTGCATTACTCCAGGTGCTCCCGACGAGGGAGATAAGCCCCACCTCCTCTCCTAACCAGCTCCAAAAGAGCATGGGCTTGGCAACCTCGGCGTTCTTTATTGTCTGTGCCTAGCACAGGCCTGGGTCCTGGGAGCCTAAGGAAAACAAGCGAACAGATATGACTCCTGGAAGGTTTCACTTGGTAAAACAGGAAAAAGGTCAACACAGCCCCCCTCTGCATGTCTCCCAGTGAAGAAAAGGCTCCTTACTGCTCAGAGCTTCCAGGCTCGTGCCCTGTGCTTTCTGCACACAGAATGACATGGGGACCTCAAAGTCCTCCTGAATGCCCAGGAAAGAGACATGTTCAGAGAGGAAGGCGGCAGACTTCTGAAGCCAGCCCTGACTTCTGACCTCGCTGGGGCTTACTGCTCCTGCTTCCCCTGGGCCTGGCCTGCCGTGCCCCTCCCCAGGAAGGACTCTTGCTCTGCCATCCTCCTTCCGCTGCCGCACAGACACGTGCCAAGATGGAGAGAGGGGAGTTGCAGAACCACTTCCCAAGCTCCCACCGAGGGAGGAAGCCGCTGGCTCACAGCACGAGGTCAAAGAGGCCCAGATCCCTCCCGGCACTAACATCCCTGCCTCCATTCCAAGGGAGGGGCCGAGAGAAGCGCCCCAAGGGGACCAGTTCCCCTCTAACTTCTGTGCACAGGCTGCCAAAAACCCGAGGGCCTGGGAACCAGCTCCTCCAAGAGATCTGCTGACCTCCCCCAAGAGGATGCTGCAAACAGGGGCGGATGAGGGGGGGACACAACTACTCACTACCAACAGCTGCAAGAGGAGCTTGGTGGGGCAGTACGAGGGGGACTGTGACAGTGGTGGCTATGTGCCATGACAGCTGCGCCAGAGCGGCCACTGGGGATCAAGTCCCTGGCTCTCGCTGCTCCCAGCTGCCCACTGAGCAGGGCTTTGTGACATGGCCAAGGTGAGACAACCCTGGCCTAAGTTCCTCCTTGTTGCTGGAGACTCACCCCTGCGTTAGTGCAGGCATGCCCCCTGAAGCCCTGGGATGCCGTGTCTCCCAAAGCCAGGGTGTCAGAGCCTCAGCAAGGGTGCCTGAATGTGCAGCTGAGGGAGGAAGAGGCCCATCTCCCCTGCAGCCACCTGGACCCTGGGGACCCAGAGCACCCTCCCTTTCCAGGGCACCAAGCCACACCTGCAGGTTACTAGCTCAATAGTCAAATCCTTGAGTCTCACACAAAGCCTGTCATCCCCAGAAAAGTGGCACATGCCCGGAAGAGGCCACAGAACAGAGACGACAACAGTGAAGGTGGTGATGCCGTTCCCTGCCCCCTGGGAAGGTACTGAGCTCTCACTTGGACTGCTACCCACCACTAACTAGCATCTCTTCACTCTTCAGCTCCCTGTCTTCTGGGACACGCGGAGGGAGGAGACATGCGTCTACACAGGAATTCAGAAAGGGTGTGGAAATCAGCGCAGCTGGGATCATCTCCTCGCCCAGTGCAGTTACCCACCCCTCTCTGCGTAGCAACAACGCTGGCCACTCAGTAGATGCGCGTCTCAGGCCATCGCTTCGTCTTAGCACCCACCCCAGGCCCTGGGTGTCAGCATCCTCCCCCTATCTCAGGGGCTTTCTGTCTTGCCAGGGCAAAGCCATCTCCATCTCCTTTTTGGACCCCATCCTTTAGGCCTGGTCTCTCCGTGCAGGATGACTGACCCTAGGGCCACCCTGGCCTTGTCCTTGGGGAGCCGTCCTGACTTGTCTCCTTGGGCTGGGTGTTCCTCTGCTCCATGTCCCCTCTGTGCAGATGGGCTCGGGGTGTACGTCACTCGGACACTTCATAAACAGTTGCTAGATGTATACAGTGTGCCAGGTCCCGCTCCAGATGTGGGAGGCCCAATAATGCTCAAAACCACAAACATCCCTACAGCTCACACTGGGTACAGGGCCACCGGTGAAATACTAACGTGTGCTGGAGCAAAGGGGACAGCACTCCTGGGCAGGGGGACACAGTTTAAACTGCCAGGGAAGTCTCTGGTGAACGGGTAGCATGCGAATAGGGGCAGGATGGAGAGGGAGTGGGGGCCGCGGGCATCTGACGTAAGGTGGCAGCAAGTGGAAAGTGGGGCAGCCGGGTGTGTGAGGACCCTGAGGTGGTAGGAGGGTGCGGCAGAGACCAAGTAGCAATAGAGGAGGTCATAAGTGTGACAGGTTAAAAGCAATCCATAGCAGGGCGGTGGTTTTTCTTTCCTATTCTGTGCTTTTCAGGATTTTGCAAGCGGTCTCTGACGCTTCCCAACCCCTACAGGCAATAATATTATTCTTCTAGTTATAAAATGAGATATACCCATAGGACAAAATATCAAAAGGTTATAAGCAAAACCAAGTGTAACTGGTGTATTGTAGAGTGAACATATAAGATCATTATTTTTTTCCTAATCCTTCAACCATCTGTTGAATTCCCCTGAATAAACAAATGGGGGGGGGAGCCTCCAAAGATATCAAAAACCCATAAACGTTACCTTATATGGCAAAGTGTTTGCAAATATGATTTAGCTAAGGATCTTGAGATAGGAGGATGGTTCTGGGATTATCTGAGTGGGCCCTAAAGGACATTTGCCATTCCAAGTGTCCTTGTAAAAGAGGCACAGAGGGGTCACACAGACACAGAGAGAAAGAGGAGAGGTGACCAGGGAGGCTGAGTGACCATGTGGGCTATGAGCCAGGGAGGGCAGGCAGCCCTGGAAGCTGGAACAGGCAGAGCACAGACTCTCCCCAGAGCATGCCGGGAACACGTGACCTGGCCGGCACCTTGACCTCCCAGCCTGCTCAGACTGAACTGGCCTTCTGGTCTCCGGAGCTGTGAGAGATTAAACATCTGCTGTTAAAACTACTAAGTCTGAGGTGATTTGTTAGCGCAGCCTCCAAATCCTGACCTGGCAGGATGTCCTGTATTTGAAGCCGTTCCCATGTGCCTCTGAGTGTCGCTAAGGCAGGTGTGTTCACAGGTGTGGGCTTTACCCACTTGCACTGGACCAGGCACATCGGGTGGGCACCACGCCCCCATATTTCCAGTGCCCCAGTAGGCCAAAACCCTCCCTGCCACAGAAGTTGGGATCAAGATCTCCTCAGGGCACAAAAAGTCACAGTGAAGGAAAGCCCACCCCTTAAAGAAGTAGCCACGGTAAGGGTCACGGCAGCAGGGCGGCACTCGAGTGGGCATTCAAGATGACCCCTGGGAGGCAAAGCAGAGCTGGAGCAGGACGACGCGAGTCCTTTTTGTCAAGGGGCCTCACGCACCATGACACACTTCGGTCACCCGTGGCCCTGGGGCAGCAGCCGAGGCAGAAGTGGGCTGCTTCCTACCCTCGAGGGGCAGCGGCCAGCTGTACCGAGGATGCTTGGATTGCACAACACTGGACACAGTTGCGCTGAGGCAGCCTGGGATTCTGAGGTCCCTGAGCAACGTGCAGCAGGATCCCTGGGCATGGGGCACAGGACAGCCTCCAAAAAATCCGCCTGCTATGGTGAGGAGCAGCAAAAGGATGCGGCCAGAAGGAGCAGAAAACATCTCTCAGCCTCCAGACCAGCTAAATTCCCACCTAGACCCCGTGAGCAGAGGCAGTGAAGCGCTGGCCATGCTGTGCCCCCAGCGTTCTTGGCACCCGAGCACGCTCCTCACGCAGACAGGGCTGGCTCTGGAGCCATCGCACCCGTGTGGGGGCCCAGCGTAGCGCCCGCCCGGGGACTCTGTGACGTGCTCCGGTTCAGCGGGGACTCAGCCCTTAGGACTCTGGCCAAAGAGCAAGGCAGGGAAAGGCTCTGAGGGTGGTCCGCTGGCCAGCACTGAGAACTCCAGCTGCAGGTGGCTAAGGCCACCATCTCCAGCCCTACACTGACCAGGGAACCTCAGATTTTCCATCATGGCCCCCGTTTCAAATGTTTGCTATTGTTGTCAAACCATAGACTGAACAACTGGTCCCGGTCGCCAGTTTGGAAAACAGGCTTGGTGCCCAGGCCCCCACACCCACGAAGGAAAACGCTTGTTAAAGGCCCGCGATGCTCAGTCTGAATTACGTGTGGTGGCTGAATGTTGAGGCACTGGCTGAGCGAAGGCGAGGGAAGACGGCACGTGGGCAGGGGATGTCCCCGCACACCGGCATGCCTACCGCTTGCTCTGGCCTTTGGAGTCAGGGGCCTGAGGCTTGTCAAGCACTTAGGCTCCTTTTCCCCAAAGGGCTCACATATTCTCAGACCTGGGGCCCGAGGGGAAGGAGAGGGGCAAGGCTGGCACCCAGGGGCCCATCTGCAGGCAGGATGGCAGCAGAGGGGAACTTTGCTCAAACAGTCACCCCAGCTGTGGCGAGACCACTTCCTCCCTGCAGCAGGGTGCAAGGAGGCACGAACGCTTCGCAGGGCAGGACGGGAGCGGGTGAGCACGCCACCAGCATACGCTGCCATCCCCGGCTCAGCCACCAGCAGCAGCCAGGCCAAAGGACTTGGTGGCCGGCTCCAACGCAGGGACGGATGAGCTACAGAGGGAAACGTGCACAGAGAACCCTGGGAATCATGAAAAAGCCCCCAAACACACACCATAAAGGAGCCCCCCTCAAGTGGTGCTGAGAGTCATGCTACAAAGGGGACTTCCTAGTGTTTTTGCCTGCTGCTCTGTGTCCAGCACCTGCTGGGCCCAAACCCTTCCCTGTACTCACTAGGCTGATCTCGGGGACCCCGTCACCCCTCTCATTGTTCCTCCTGGCTCAACACACATGAGCTCCACTTGCCACATTTACACCTCCTTCCTAGAAGGACCAACTTCCCAAATAAGACCCATACACACCCCTCCTGCTCCCCTTCCCCCAGACATATAGGTAACTCAGCTCTCCAGGTTGGACTGTGAATTACCTGACAACAATCCTCTGTGCCTGCCTAAGAGTTTAAAATACAGCCAGGAAGCCTAGGGTGATGGCACATGCCTGGAATACCAGCACTTGGGAGGCTGAGGCAGGAGGATTGCCACAAGTTTGAGGCCAGCCTGAGATACACAGTGAGTTTGAGGCCAGCCTGAACTACACAGCTAGACCCTGTCCTAGAAAAAAAAAAAAAGCTAAAAAAAAAATGCCAGGAAGGGAATCCTTACTGAACACTGGGATAGGCACTGACTCATGAACTGAGAGCTTTGAAGTCTCTCCTGCCCTCTGAAAAAGCTTCACACACACACACACACACAGAAAGCCTAAATACTGGTGGGTGTTCTGTGCTTGTGGCCTGGGTCCAAAACGGGCTCAGAGTGGGCAGTGCCCTTGCTCACTCTAAGGGGTGCAGAGGCAGGGGCCATTCTGAACAAGCATGGCCATGGCTGCTGACCTCGCTGCAGGGCCTGCCCGCCCCCCAGGAATGCCAGGGCTGAAGTGGTCTCCAAACACACCTGCTGGCTGCCAGCTTCAGTCGGGGGAGGGGGCTCAGGCAAGTCAGAGAGTAGCAGGGCTGCCTGCCAGTTATGATGGGGGAAGCAGGTAATACACTCCAGCACCGTGGAGCTGGAGAAGAAAGGACAGAAGGTGATGGATAGCCCACTGTCCCTCAAAGCAACTGGGGAAAGATCTGGAATCTGTTCGTTTTTAACAGCTTAAAAGCTTCCAGTGGTCTAGGGGTTTAGCTCAGCAGCAGGGCACTTGCCCAGCATATGCAAAGCCCTGGGTTCCATCCCTACACCCCCATAAACCACCTTTCAGGGACTTCGCAAGTCCCTGCCTCCCTCCAGTCCCTCTCCCCTCTTCCACACTCCCTGTACCCCCCTCCTAAAAGCTTCCCATCTCCATCCTCTCTGGGGGAGGCAGGGATACGTCCTGCATGCCTCAGGCCTTCACAGTGTCATACCAGTGTCGAGGGAGGCAGCCTATGCCAGGCCAGGGACCTTAAACTGGAATTTGAAGGGAGCCCAAAACCTAGAAGCAGAAAATTCCCAGAAGACCAGGAATGAAAGATGGGCTGAGTGCATAGCTGGGTTTGGATGCCTACGCCGCCAAGAATTCTCCCACCTCCTGCTGCAGCCACAATATTGACAGGTTGCTAAGAGTTCCTCGAGGGCTGGAGCCCATCCTGGGGCAAGAGGAAAGCTGTGTGGCGGGGCCCTGCCAGACCCATGGAGGCGCATCGCTGACCTCTGCCTCGCCGTGGCAAGAAGCCCAGACTTGTTACATAACAGATCTGGCCTGCAGCTGGAGCCCAAGCAAAAACACACAGCCTAGAGCCCAGGTTCTCACCCTGCCAGGGACCGTCAGAGGCCAATCTGCACTTAGAAGACAGAAATCTCTGAGGAGTAGGATGGCGACTTCCTGGCAAGAGGAAACGACCAAGGCGGAGACAGGTGGGCTACCACTGTGACAAAGGGCATGAGCCTACAGGTTCAAATTTTGATTTTTTTTTTTTTTTTGGTACCGGGAATCGAACTCAGGACCTTGCGCTTTTGCTAGGCAGGCGTTTGTGCCGCTGAGCTATATCCCCGGCCTTTAGCCTACATGTTCAAAGCAACCTCCAGCCTGCTCTTCCAGGAAGCCCTCTTTGATTAGATGTCATCTGGCCTGAGCACTCACCTCCAGAGAACCAGACCCATGCTCCTGGCCTGTGCGGGGTGCAGCCTATTCTACTTGGCCTTAACAAAGGACAAAGCATAAACACTAAGGCTCCCAGAAAGGTCTACTCCATCTGCTACCTGGGGTGTATCTTCCCTTGTCTTTTTACTCATAGATCTCTAAAGAAGGCCATTGATATTTTTGTTTGGAGACAGGGTCTTGCTATGTAATTCAGGCTGGCCTCAAACTTGTGGTGATCCTCCTGCCTCAGCCTCCTGAGAGTGGGGATCACAGGCATGCATCACCATGGCCCACAGAAGGTCAGTGATTTTTAACTTGTTACTTAAACTTGTTTTACAACTGTCTTGGTTCAAGGTGGAGTATTCCCAAGATAATTCTCTTCCTGAAAACTCTGCCAGACATCTGGCCCCATCTCATCCCTTGGCTATCTGCTCCCTGGCCTTCATGGAACTGGAATCCAGGCTTAGAGAGGCCAAAGCTTGTCTTAATTTCCTTAGCCTTCATTCCAACATGCCAAGAACAGGCCAGGCCTGGGTACTTACACATTCATTAATAACATTTGAAAACGGATTCACAAAAAATAAAGGAAGTGGCAGGATGTGCTCAGAAGGGGAGGGAGGGTAACCCACATGGGGCACTTGTCACCTGACCACCATGCCCTCTGCAGATGCGTAGAGCAGGCACACCCCACCCTGTGCAGAGAAGCGCTGGCCTGCCTGACTCACCCCAGGCGGGCAAGGGGCTGATTCCCAGCCCCAGGCTCTTTCCTCCCGTTTCCACCTTGAACAGGAATCAGCTTAAACTACATCAAAATGCTGGCCCAACTTGGTATTACCAACTTAACTGCTGAGAATGTTGAAGTCCTGAATCCGATTAAGAAATTGCTTCACAGAACTTCACATGGGATTTCTTGCTCAGGTTAACACTATCTTACCCAAAAACTGACAAGTGGACTGAGAGAAGTGCCAGGCACGGGGGTGCATAGCTATAATCCCAGTACTTTGTGGAGGCTGAGGCAGGAAGATCACCATGAATTCAAGGCCAGCCTGAACTACATATAGAGATCGTGTCTCAAAAAAAATCCAAAAAGAAAAACCAAACAACACATAAAGCCAAGTAAAGCTGGGGTGGTGGTGCACACCTATAATCCCAGCACTCAGGAGGCTGAGGCAGGAGGACTGTTGCGAGTTTAAGGCCAGCCTGGGCTACAAAGTGAGCTTAAGGCCGCCTGAACTGCATATGAGACCCTGTCTCAAAAAGACAAAAATAAAAGTGTAGCCAGGCGTGGTGGCACACCCCTGTAATCCCGGCACTTGGGAGGCTGAGGCAGGAGGATCGTTGCAAGTTCGAGACCAGCCTGGGCTACAAAGTGAGCTCAAGGCCGGCCTGAATTGTATAGCGAGACCCTGTCTCCAAAAAACAACAACAATAAGAAAAGTGTAAGGTTGCAAACACACGAGCTCGTGAAAAGCTGCCGTGCATACCCCAAACCCAGGAGCAAAGGCTCTCATACTGGTAAAAGGCCCCCCGGCCAGCCTCCCCGTCCTGACCCCGCCATCAGAGAATGGCATTACCTGGGTGGCTTTGTCATTGGTACAGCAGGCGAAGGCCCCATCTGCTTCTCGTGGCCACTGGCCCAGAAGGTAGGAGCTGAGGATGGTGTCCAGGGAGAACGTACGCCGGACCTGGGGCAGCTGAGGCCTACACGCTGACTTTTCTGAGGCCACCGAGCATGGGACGCTGGCTGGAAGAGAGCATAGCCCGCACACCTTGCGTCAGCAGCGAGAACGAGGACGGAGGCGTGGCCGCCAGCCTTCTTCTCGAAGCCTAGCCAGAGTCACACCTCACTGCCCTCCGGAAGAGTGAAGGCAGCCTATGAAAGCGGAGTCTGCCTAGAGCTTCCCTGACTGACTTGGGAGCCTCCAGCACTGCAAGCAAGTTATTATACCATTGCACTTTGGATTTAGGGTTTACCTTATACGTGCCTTCTTTTTCTTATTCCCAAAGGAGCATGAATTTCTAGGTCTCCACACTGACTTTCCTGGAAGTGGCAGTTTCTCATCATTAAAGAGAAAACTCTTGCCAGGTATGAGGGTACACGCCTATAATCCCAGCACTCAGGAGGCTGAGGCAGGAGGATCTGTGAAAGTCTAGGCCAGCCTGGGCCACACGGTGTGTGCTCAAGGCCAGCCTGAAGTGCATAGTGAGGTCCTGTCTCAAAACAAACAAACAAACAAACCAAAAAGAGGGACAAGGTGGGTGGTAGGGACTCTAGGTAGACAAAAACTAAGTTTCTTCCATCTTTCATCTCCTGGCCCTTCCCTGCTCTCCCGCCCACAGCAGGGCTCCTATGCACTACACAAGTTCAACTCAGGCAACTCAAGGTGTCTTCTAGCTTCCTTCAGGACTAGCTGGAACCCAGGTGACTGAGATGAAGAGAACAAGACAACTACTATCAACTCTTACTCCAGGACAGAGAAGTCCACCTTAGGAAAATGTCCAGGTCTTTGGTTCTCTGCTGTCTCTAATAACTTTTGTCTGAATGGGACAAAAATAATGTAGATAGAAATCCACCCTTGGTTTAAGATTTCTAGGAGAAAGTAAAAGTTGAGACTACTGATATACTATAAGGGCTCTGGAAGGAGCTGGAAGTTTCAGCGGTCTGAGTGGACCCTGTTTTCCACGGTCAAGTTCAAAACACTCCACTTAGTTCTATAAAGGATCACCCCCTCACACAGAAGACAATGCTCCCACAGGTAGAGTAATCCCTGGATAATTTATGTGTGTATTGAGCTCACCAAAAAGAACCGGGACTGTAGGTATAAGCAGACTTGAAGAGCTTTACATTAAAAAGGTACTAAGGGTTGGCAGCTCCTCAAATATTTAAACACAGAATTTCCTTGTGATCCAGAATTCTGCCAACAGATCTATACCCTTCAAAGAGCTAAAAGCAGGGAGTTGGAAAGATATTTGTACACCCACGATCACACCAGCATCCATCACCATAGCCAAAAGTGTAAGTGACCCGCACTATGACACAGATGACACCAAGTGACACAAGACAGGCAGGAAGGACAAACACTGTACGAGTCCTCTTAGAGAAGGCACCCGGGAGGGGCAGATTCATGCTGGGGACAGAAAGCAAAATAGAGGTTACCAGGAATTTAGGAGGGAGTAGGAGTTATTCTTTAATAGGCGTAGAGTTTCTGTTTGAGATGATTAAAAAAAAAGTTAGCCTGGAATCCCAGCCACTTGGGAGACTGAGGCAGGAGGAGTGCAAGTTCCAGACCAGTCAGGTAACCTAGTAAGATCATCACAAAGGAAGAAAGGAAGGAAGGAAGGAAGGAAAGAAAGAAGGAAGGAAGGAAGAGAGAGAAAGAAGGAAAGAAAGAGAGAAAGAAGAAAAGAAGGAGAGAGAGAAAGAAAGAAACAAACAAACAAAGAAACAAAGAAAGAAACAAAGCAAGCAAGTAAGCAAGCCAGGCGTGGTGGTAAAACCTATAATTCCACCACTCTAGGAGGTCAAGGCAGGAGAATCAAAAGTGTGAACCCAGCCTGGGCAACTTAACAACTTAGCAAGACCTGGCTCAAAATAAAAAATAAAAGGGAGGAGGGGCTGGGGTTTAGCTCAGCAGCACAGCGCCTGCCTGGCAAGCGTGAGGTCGTGAGTTTGATTCCTGGTACCAGAAAAAAAAACAAAAACAATAAATAAATAAATAAATAAAAATAAAGGGGAGGGGGGCCTGCTGGGGATATAGCTCGTTGTGAAGGCCCTGGGTTCGATCTCCAGTAGCAAAGAAAGAAAAACTAAATTGTGGCTGGGTATGGTGGTGCACAACCTTAAATCCAGCATTTGAGAGGCTGAGGTAAGAAGATCGCCAAGCTGGAGGCAACCTGGGCAACACAGAGAGATCTCGTCTCAAATAAAACAAAACAAAACCCCAAGCAGTTCTGGAAATGGAAGCAACATTGAGAATGTACTTAATGCCACTGACCTGTAAGCTTAAGATGTTTACTGGTCATTTTTAGGTTATTTATATTGAACCACAAGATACCAAGCATAGTCTCTAAATTCATTGAGATATATTTGACATACTTTTCACTAACCAATACAAAATGTACTACATTAGTTTCTGCCTTTTTCTACCCATGTTATAACCCATTATTTCCAAGTATCAGTAACTTACATATTTATCATTTTAAAGACTATGTGATTCTCTTCAGTAATTGCTTAGCCATTCCCATAGTACTGGATATTGAGAGGGTCTCCCCCAGCCATCTGGATGACATCAATGTCACTGAGTAGCCAACTTTTTTTTTTCAGTTTAGTTTTGTTTTTTTGAGACTGTCTCACCATATGGCCCAGGCTGAACTTGAACTCATGATAATCCTCTTGCCTCAGCCTCCTGAGTGCTGGGATTACAGGTGTATGCCACCATGCCCAGGCTTTGAAAAGCCAACTTTTTACTTTAAGGCTTTATCAAGTCCCTGACATATTTCTAATCATTTCCCTCAGTCATCATATATCATGGGTCCACTTAGAACTTAACAATGATTTATAAACCAGGTGTGATGTAAACCTCTAGTCCTAGCACTCTGGGAGGCTGAGGCAGGAGGATTGCAAATTCAAGCCCAGCCTGGGCAACACAGTGACTAAGCCTCAAAATAAAAAAATTTTTAAAAGAGCTTAGGACATGGCTCAGTGCAAAGGCCCTAGGTCCAATCCTCAGTACCAAAACAAAACAGAACAAAAAGACAATTATAAACAGTGTGAATTGTAGAAAAGTTAGGAGACATATTTTATACATGCACACATTTCAACATCCGGAGATAACATACTATGAGACATAAATTCCTGTACTCCTTATTGTGAGTATATAAATATGTGATTTATATACATATAAATTATATAAAATAAAAATGGGGTCATATTGCATATAACGTTTTCTGTATGTTTTCTCCTTACATCATCAACATCTTCCTAAATCAATATATACTGGCCTATAACATGTAACTTTCAATGATCTTAACATTGCTATGTTTAAACTCTTCCAAAGCTCTTTCAGAGATGGGAGCCAGAGGGTGCACGTTCCGTTCCACTTACATCCTTTTACGCCTCCCCCACTAGATCCCGGACAAAGCATACCAGGGTACACACCATTTCCCCTCTGCCCTTGCTGCCTGCTGGATCCTGGGAATCCCCTGTGAGGCCCAGGAAGCCCTGAGTTTTTTCTGTATACTTTGTCCTCTTCTAGTAATTAACCACCCAGGGCAGGGGGGATTTGTGACTCCTGGATAATAAACAACCGGACACCCAGGCCTGCTCTTCTATCTTCGTGTCCCCCACAGTGCCTACAGCATAGGGCTGGCATTTGGCAGGCACCCAAGAACTTCCATGAAATTGAAAAATCGTTTCTAGAAGGGAAAGCCTGCTCTAATTCCACCACAGAGCCGAAGTTCGCCTGCCGTATCCATCCCCAGCCACTCACCTTGAGCAGAGACCCTGTAGCTGCCTGGCTCTTTCTCCCTGAGATTCCGGAAGGCCCAGCCTCTCTCTTACCCTCCCTGCAACCTTGCCACCCGGGAAGTTTGTAACAGGTTCCCTAGTTCACCCCCAACTTTATCCCCCACACTTCATTTCAACCTTCAGACCTGCAAGAATGTCACTACATCTAAGTCCAGCAGGAGGAGGATGTGCCTCAGTTTCTTTTCTTGCAACGAGGAGCAGACTGGGTCTCAGCTTTATTTCCATAGTGGAGACAGCCTAGTCCAGGTGCTGACTCAGCTCCTTGCTGGCCCGGGACAGAATGTTCTTCTGTCTCAGAGCCCTCAGCAAGGTGCCAATGTTCCTCCCAACCCCTCAAGCCCCTCACACAGCCCCCTTCCCCTTTATGGAGACAGGGTGTTGCTATGTAGTTCAGGCTGGCCTCAAACTCAGTGATCTTCCTGTTTCAGCCTCCGAGTGCTGGGATCACAAGTTTGTGCCACCATACCAGGCTCACCCGGCCCCTTTCTAAAATGCCATGTTTCTCTCATGTCTAGGAAGTAAGGAAGGGGGCACCTAAAAAAAGAGATTAGATTTTTTTTTTTTTTTTTAGAAAGTCTCACTACATAGTCCCAGCTGGCTTCAAACTCATAGTGATTCTCCCTGCCTCAGCCTCCTAAGTGCTGAGATTACAGACATCCGCCACCACGCTCGGCCAGAGATTTTGACAGTAATAAAATTTAAAAATCTATTGCTAGGGCCGGGGTTATATCTCAGTGGCTTAAGCGCTTGCCTGGCAAGCCTGAGGTCATGAGTTCGATTACCGGTACAAAAAAAAAAAATCTACTGCTCATTTTATGAACCTCCCCCAAATGGTTTGGTAAGTACCTGCTAATTGGAGCACCAAAACTGTACAGGTTAATCCACGGGGTCACTTTCCCTCAAATCAAGTACCAAAGCCAAATCAGACACTGCCAAACTTCAAGGAACCACAGACTGGCACAGCACGGTTCCTTAACACCAAGTGGGGCCAAGATGTGGACAGCACCAGTCTGATCACAGCTCTGCCACTACCACCAGCCTCCCCAGCCCACGCTCCCTCTGCAAACAACACAACCCGGCCTCTACGACCTCTTAGGGATACTGGAAAGAAAAGAGATGCAGTCACACTTTGGTCCTCCAGGACAGAAGGTGGGTGTGAGGCAGTGGGGAAAGATGTGCACCTAAGTTCCAGCCACTGCATCCCTAGGCCTGTGGCC